AGTCGACAATCGTTTAGCAGCGATCTTGACTGACATGCTGAATCGGAACGAGCTATATACAAGATAGTCACGAGACACGTAGAGATTTTGCATACATCTTCTTTTGTAAGGTTACACTGTCAATGACTCGAAAGACGTGGCAAACATCACGTGTATGGTGGTGACGTCATTGAAGCATATCATGAGACGTTGCCCCACCTGTTGCGATCGAATGAACTGGAATCTTCGCACATGCCTTCTGCGCAAGGATTGGCAGCGTATATAGATCACTGTCACACGAAACCACAACTGTGTCTTGATCCCTTGCGACAGCAATCGAAAGCTAGGAGCTTGCCCGCTTCGCGATTGTGTTGATATGGTTGGACTCTATAAATAATGGCATTCAGTGTACACTGCGCGGGATCCAAGATGTCCCTGATAAAGCCCATACCCCCTACTGAATCTTAAACGGCAGCAATAGCTGTGCGGTTGTCAGCGTGTTGTGATTCCTTGTGGTCTGAGAGTCTTCGAGTAGGAGCAAAGGCCGACGCCCCGACCAAGCTGGTCTCCTCCCGACGACCTCTTGCCTACGGCACAGTATGCCTGCCATACGAGCTTTGTCACAGACACCCCGTTCAGCATGTCACTTTGTTCTTCAAAATGTTGCATTATGTCGTTGCCGAGTCAGCGCACCCGTGGGTTACGCTGTGAGCGAGCAAGTTCCCATGGCAGGAGGACCCTTCGGCACCCACAACGCACATTTTTATTTTGGCCAATAACTCGAGGCGAGAAGGAGGTACGATATGCGAAGCTTGCTAAGCCTGCGCAGCGGATGTCGGCGGCTGGGCGCGAGGCACAGTATATAGTAGCAAAATGCAATGCCATAGGTACCCTGGGACGCAGTCAAGTTGTGCGTCGGGCGATCAGGCCGTAGAGGGCTCATCGGATGTTGGGCCGCTTGCTCGATGCTTGGGATAATGTGGGTGACCAGACATGTTGCTGACTGTGTCTTGCACTGTAAAGCTCATGGCAAGATCGGGTGCCTAGAACATTAGGGCAGTGGAATACGCTGTAGGCTGGCTGGCTGGCTAGGATTCGCGACACCAGTCCATCGTTAGCTCCCATACGCAATGAGAGGGAGTGAGAGGAGGAAACAATAGCATCGGTGATCCTGCCCGCCAGTGCGCCACAGGCGGCAGTGATGAAAGGGGCTCGAATGGGAATCGTATCAGGTCGGAGCAAATCTGTAGATGCCGATACTGTAGAGTAGAGAGGCAGACAAGATGTCGTGGAACTTGGCGTGTTGGGCGGAGCACATGGACCGAGAGAGGGGGTCGAGCCCAGCTGATCCAACCGCAGAGGACAGCATCAGCATTTCGCTGGACATTGGGGCACACGGTTGGCCGAGATGGCAGCCGATGCATTCTGCCACTTCAGCGATTGATGCTCTCAGTCTCAGCAAGCTACGCCACTCGGCTCTGATCGCAAGAGGCTTGAATTCAGAAACAAGTCGAGACGGTCACAAACTAGGCATGCCTCTCTCCCCTTTTCCCGTCTCGTCTGGAGAGGAAGGGGAAAACGCTCAGGAAGGGGCTTCGGAAGGTGGCGCGTGCCTGATCCATACTGAAGAAGGCGCGACCTGACGACGAATTGAGAATGGAGAATTGAGGGGCTTAGTGGTGGGTGGGTTGGGCCGAGTGGAGACGGGCCTGGTGGTGGTGCCCATACTGGACTGTGGTGTCGGCGGTGGTGGAGCCAGTTCCCCCTATTTCGGTCTGGTCGCCTGAACCCTTGTAGACGTTGCGTCAGCATTTCAGCCAATCAGCGGTCTAAAGGAGGAAATGCTCCGGCCACCAGCTCCGTCCAGCGGGTGGTCAGCGGTAGAGTGGTTTGAGGGGGCAAGTAAGGTATCTCACCTTAGTCCCTGGCTGCACTTGACCAGCAGCACCACAAGACTTGAAGGGCCCGGCCGAGGACTGAGGTACTTACGCACCGAACAGGGGATAGAGGTCTCCCGCCCGAGGTGGACAGCCGGAAAAAAAAAGAAGCAACAGGGAAGGCGTTAGGTGCAAATCGCATGGTCAACCTGTCGCCTCGCTATGTCGAGTCCGTTCTGCATGCCGCCTCTTCCCTCTCGCTTTCCGAGCCTGTGTCTCTCTGAGCCCGCCCGCCCACCCGCCCGCCTTTTAGTTGTGCCCCAGTCCTCGTAGTCGGTGGGATGCCACTGACAAGGGCAGGGCAGCGTCATGACCAGACGCAGAGGTTTCGCCAGCTCACTGACGCCTGACCCAGGCTTGCCTGGCTTGCCTGGCGTGTGACTTCTCTGCTTTTCTTACCGAACACGTATTCCCCTGTGCTTGTAGTTCACTTGCTGCCCTGATCCGGACCGAACGAAGCCGGCAGAAAGCTCCGGACGTCGTGGTTTCTTGTGGCAATACACCTCTGGCAGCCCATGCCATTGGCCCCCACCTCGACACAACCCCTCCAAACTTGTACGCCATCCACCGCCAAAGCCACAATCCCGGGACACAACCTCCCATTCAGCCACAGCCAACGTCGCCTGGGGAAGAGCCCGCCCTCTGTGCTAAGGCAGACCCCCTCGTGCCGGTGCTTCAGTCCCGGGCTTTTCAGAAATTTGTCCGCTCGCCGTCCCGGCCACTTGTACCCGGATTCGAGAACCATAGGACGTGGCTGAAGGGTCCGTCCGACACACCCGCAAGGTCCCTTAGCGCTGCAGAAGAAATCCAACACGCAGTGTTCCATCTGAACCTTTCACCTTCAAGCTCCAACCCATGGTGCCAACGCCTCTCTGGTAGACACGGGTTCGTCGTCCGCCCCATGTCGTCCATTGAAGGTTCTACCAGCCGCCATCTATCCTCGCTCTCAACCTTTTTAACACTTCATCGTCAACGTCGGGGGCCATCGGGGACTTCCCTGCCCTGATGTGTGTGGAGCACAAGTCGTCCTGCCCAGTCTGCCGGCGGATGTTTCTCATCTATGTCGAATTTTGCCACGAGTATCGTCCGCCGCTGATTCATTGTCTGTCTGGAACCACGACCAACCTGCTGGACATGGTCGAGGGCCGATGCCACAGTCCGGTCTGCCCAAACAGTCGCACGGGTGGCTGTCAAGTCATATGACAAATCTTTGGCCACAACGTCCACCACGGCAACTCGTGGGAGATGGGCCGGCCTCCCAGCCGATCTTAGTGCTTTTGCATAGAGTTTTCAACCTCGACAATCTGATCGATCCCTTGATATTCGGGGAGGCTCAGGTTATATTTCTTTGCGACGGTATCGGAGACAAACCTGGCCTGTTGTCAGCACCTCGTACCTGGACTTGCCTGGAGAACATGGTACGTACCGTCCGCCGACAAAATGACGTCCCCGGAAATACTTGACGAGAGGCTTGGGCGCTGTAAGACTGACAAGCACTGTAGGATTGAAGGAGCTTCCCAGTCCGGTCTTGGGTGGACCCTCTTCAATGTCCCATGATGATGGTGCGTCAACAGCTGTGACGGGCAAAATTGTTTCCTCGAGCGCACGAATCACCGCCGGGAATGGCTCACGCACTTCGCCCGAGAAGCTGAAGCCTACAAAATGCCAAATCAGCTGCCGTGACGCCACTTTTGATCGCAGACGGAGTTCGGAGCGGACCAACCAAATATGGCGTCGATGATATGATCGGCTGTCTGCAAAGCCTCGGAGAAGTCGTCGACAAATGAGACTTCAAGGTCCTCTAGTTGTTTGGCCAATCTCTGGGTGTCCCGAATAAATCAGCACGAGCTTGCACATGGTCGATGGACGAGAAGGGAGTAAAAAGTGACAGCCGTGCAGTTTGCAGACGGCTGCAATTGGAAAGGCTTGATATAAACGCAGCGCTCGTCTTTCCTGTTTCCTAACCCCAAGGCAACACATGTTTTATTGTACTTGAAACACGAGGTAGATTTGCAGGCGACGAATCATGACTATACGCTGCAATGAGAGATAGAGCAACGAACACGATATTGCGAACTCAAGATGGAAGCTCCCGAGATAGTCCGGACGACGCTAGGAGAGCTGGAGGACGTTACCTGATAAAGTTCATTCTTGCTGCGCTTGGGGTAGTAGATCGACGGCTTGTATCCATAATGATGGAGATGTCGCGCTGCTACCAATCCGTCTCCACCTGGACCACAGGGTAAGCAAGTCTGTCCATTCTCGCGAGACGGAGGTTGCAAACCATTGTTGCCGGGACCGCATGCCACCAAAATGTTGCGGCCCTTGCTAGGTGGATGAACTTTGTAGACTGCCAAGCGATGAGCCACACAGCCAAACATTGACTAAGGGCCCGGTCACAGCACGTACCCGCTTGAGAAACAGACAGACCAGCAAGTTCCATAAGCTGATCGAGGGAAAATGCACCTGCGCTCATAAGGTCTTTGTCAAGAGCTGCTGCTGCCTTTGCGCCGAGGGTCTGCAAACCAAGGTTCTCAGTACATGACGGCGAAGTATTCTGGGCCGAGAACAGACCTTGAGTGCCATTTTGATGATGTTTTGATTAAGTGTAGTTGTCTGGAGAAGGTTAAGATGTTCATTCGTGCCGGCTTGAGCTGAAGGGCAGTAATCATTACTAAGGAAAGACTAGTAATACGGCCCGGACATCAGAACGAGCAGGGCCATTGACGAACGAGCGGTTCAAGCAAGAGCAGTTGGACGTAACTGACATCACTGACCTGACGATCACAAGTGGAGATGCATTCTCCTCCAGTGGTAGTCTAATTGGCCAACAACTATTGTGCCCCTCCGTCACTCTACCGCACGGATGAGCAACCATGCCCGTCTCTATTGACCCCCACTTTATCTAAGCAAAAGCACAGTCGGTATCGGCAAAACCTAACCCCGACCGAAATTGTTGTCCAGGAGAGTCTGGTCATTGACCGACCTCACAGCCGCCGCCGACGCGACACCGACATCTGACCTCCACGACGACCCATTCACGTACACCAACCAACATCCCAAGTCATCTCAACCCTCGTCAGCATGGTCCTTCGTATGCGCCTCGCCCGCTTCGGGCGCACGAACGAGCCCTTCTACAACATTGTCGTCACACACGCCAGGTACGCCAACCCCTGCGCCGCCCAGTAATCGATCGCTGGGAACATGCGACGACTAACTCTCTGTCTAGGACCGCGCGGAACAGCAAGCCTCTCGAGGTCATCGGCACGTACGACCCCATCCCACGAAAGGATCCCTACGACCCCGACCGCAAGCCGCACAAGAACATCAAGCTCGACACATTGCGCGCGAGGTACTGGATCGGTGTTGGTGTGCAACCCAGTGACCCGGTATGGAGGTTGATGTCCATGGTAGGTTTCTCGGGCGTCACCCACTCGTAGCGCGCAGTTTGCTGACGAGGCGACCCGGTAGATTGGTCTCATCGAGCCCCAATACGGACCCAACGGCATCAAGAACAAAAACTCGGCGGCGAAGGCGTTGACACAGCCGCTCGAGAGTCCGGCTGCGACACAGTGAAGATGGATGCGGGATACCGACGTGTAATATACCTTGGGACGGAATGTTCTCAGCATTGGATGGCGTTTGAGTCTGGCGCGATGTGCCAGGAAATTGTATTCTACTAAAATGTACGATGAGGGTGTGTCGATTTTTCTCTGCCTTGGACTTTGATGGACGACGTGAGAAAACGCAGCTCGTGATGTTCTGGGCGTGCAAATGACGTCGCGTTGCTGGGACGCTCTCTGGGCATTACTAACTAAGCTACTAGCAAAGAGCACCGCTATTGGATTGCGTTCTGGAACTACAATGGCTTGAGTTGAAGCACAACGCAACTGCAGCTATGATGAACTGACGCGGTCGGTGAGGACAGAATCATGGGCGCACAGGCAAGACATTGCTGCGGTTGTCAAAGAGGAGGCACGTCAGGTGGATTGATTTGCGCTGTGTAATACGACCAGGAAAAGTACCCTGCTGTGGAGAGTGAAGAGAATCAAGTCAACCAAACGCCCTTTGATGCTTAGAAAAGAAGGTAGCCGTCATTCCATGTCATGCCCGGCACATGCCAACCGCTGCTCCCCCGTCGTCTAACCCAGAAACCAGAATAGATATACAGTATATCATTGCAAGAAAAGGCAAGCCGGCACCATGCCGGCTGATGATCTCAGTGCGAAGTGTGGAACACAATGTTCATAACGAGACAGACGGTCATGACACATATGCCATAGATCGCCAGCGCTAAGCCCACCTTGCGTAGGAGGTCATGTTCCAGGTGCTCAAGGTCCCATCGCCACTTCTTCCGCCACTTTCGTGGGTCGATCGCGACGCTTGCAGCGCTGCCAAGACTCTGAATACTGGTCACCATGGCCGCGCTGTCCTCGATATCCGAGTCTTCATGAAGTTCGGCCGCGTCGTCGTCCTCCTTGAGAAGTTTCTGGTGGTGTACGCTTTCAGGGTCGCTAATTTTGTAGTAAAACAAACCTGGAAGAATAAAGCTGATCGAAGTCGAGCCAATGCTGCCTACGTATGCAAGGACACGCTCCAAGCTCGTCACTGAGAGCGCAACCAGGTAGCCAAAGACGAGAATCAGAGTGGTCAGAACAGCAAAGCGAAGGTCGCTCATGGGGGCCACGGCATGATCCGAACGTCCCCCGACAGGAGAATTGGAGCGACCATTGCCAGTGTGTGCTCGGTTGGGCCGCCACTTCAGCACTGCGTCGAGCGAGGCGCGACACGGGTGGACCTGAAGGGGGATACTAAAGGTGACGAGAATGACAATGCCAATCTGGCCGATGAATGTTGCAATGGAGGGGGCGTCTGTAATAGTTAGATACAAAACTTCCTGACTATGCGTGAAACTTACACATAGAGACAATGTTGCCGTTGACGTCGTTGCCAAAAGTAAGATAGCCAGTGATCGCCACAAGCAGATACATGCTGGCAGCACCGCCAATGCTGAAGCCAACGACTCCTACAACACTGAGGAGACATTAGTCAATTTCCCCGCGCCGAGACACTACGAGAAAAATACCTTGAGGGCGAGTTATCCTTAATCTCGTTGAGGATCGAAAACATCTGCGAGACATCAGTGATTCATTCTTCAACGCAGACGTAGGTAGACTCACGTTTTGATGACAGGTGTAAGCAAAAACCACCACCGGCAAGGTGCTCAGAAAGGCAACAGCACTCTGCGGTTTGACGACTCGAAGTCCACTCTTGTCTTGAAGAGGCTGGGCTCCGAAATGGTAAACCACAAGGATGACAAGGTACCCAATCGAGACCAGCGCGACAATACTTGTGTACTTCAGCGAGTCCAGTCTCCGGAGGAAGGCCAATGGTATGACCAAAAACATGAAAGCCGTAATCCAAAAATTGCGATCTGTCAGGTAGGGATGGAGTTCTGGGGTGTTGCTATTGAATCCGAGAATGACTTTGGGCATCAGATCACCAATGATGATCATGTATGAAACGCCTACACCGAAGCACTTGACGGCGATGGCGGCATCGAAGAGCACTGCCGCATTCGGGTATGTGAGCTTCGATATGGCAAAGAAGGATGAGCTGCCCCGATCGAGGTATCGTGCACAACGACCTTGAAGGTAAAGGCCCATGGCAGCTGTCAACCCAGACCAGACGATCATCAGAGAGCCGAGCACAATGCCCATATGCGACAAGACGGATGGCATAGCCAATGTACCTGCGCCGACAACTAAACCCAGATACGTCAGATCTTCTTCCTTGTGTACGCTCTTCGTAGAATGACATACTGGTATTGAGTAGGTTGATGATACTGCTCAGCATCGAGGCCTGGCCGCCTCCCTCTCGGGCTTTTCGACGTGATCTGAGGGCGTCATGGTCAGCAAGTCGTTTGAGATGTCGAATAGGAGCTAAAGAAGTTCGAGCATACCGGTTCATCTCGTCAGCGCTTCCACTTGTCGAGGAAGAAGCGTTGCCATCAGCAATGGTGTTGTAATTGGTCATTTAGTCCAAGTAGAGCCACGATTTCCTTGGCTGGTAGCACAGTGAAAAGGCAGCGGTCGCGTTATCGTGTGTAATCGATATGGTGTTCCTCGATCCCGTCGTAGGTCAGTCGTCGGGAGTCTATAGAGGTCGAACCGGAACGTGATGTGCTCTGGACCAACAGGTCACAGGGGCTTGTGACCAGGAGGTCGGTCGCCTGGAGCCGCTCGCTGAAACCTTCAGTAGGTTCAGAGGGCAAGCGGCTCGGTCAAAATCGAGTCGCTTAGGAGATTCGGAGGGCGTGCCGAAACGCCCTTGGCTCATTCAATGTTTTGCGACGACGAGATGATGTGTTCTGATGGATTGTAAAACCGGGGGGGTCGTCTGGTACCTATAGAGTTGAACACGACGTCGATGCGACTTGGCGATTGTCACAAGTTGGTCATGGGTCAGCCACATCCCTTATCGCGCATAAGCTTCAGCCACAATTGACGTTATCAGTGACAGCTTCGTGGGAATGTACCTTCGCCCAGATCAGCATGACCTCCATATTAAAGTCATCCCGCCATCAAGTCTCTTCTGTCGCACCCTAGTTCGCTCTCGAAAACTTTCTCTAACAGGCCCCATCGAACTGAAGATTTCTCGATTCGTTCCCCGCTACTAATCATGGAATCAACTCTCGATGACACGACTTTGTCGACAATCTCACTCTTAGAGGCGCGCTTGCGGCGGGCAGAGCATATCCTCTACGGCCAAGGAGATGCTCCGGCAATCTCCCATCCTGAACCTGCGGCTTCATCTCTCGAATCCCTTGAAAGGCGATTTTATGTCCTCTTGGGCAACATCAAAGTTTACGGGGAACTCATGAAGATTCGTATGCATAGACAGGCCTGTTTATTCACTTCCACAGCTAACCGACGCCAGACAAGACGCAGCCAACTCTTTTTCACCCACCGTCCACAGAACAGCCCCCTATCGACCTCTCCTCTGAAGCGATTCGCGCGACTGTCATCGCGGCCGCCGCGTCATTTCCTGCAACAGCGTCTTCGCTCACCTCCGTGTCCGACTGTCCCATTCCCGACCCTTCGCAGAGCGCATCCCTCGCAGCTATGATCCCGCGAATGCGCGGCATCGAAGCAACACAGCTCGCACAAGAAGTCGAAATGGCCGAGCTGCGAATGCGGAGTGAAGCGGTTATCAGTAGCTGGTACGAAAACGGCGTCCTCTCTGCATCTCGTTTCGTCGCGGACGTGGAGGGCCAGGTCGAGAAGGTCGAGAGGCAGGTGAGAAGGGCAGAAAAGCAGCAAGAGGCTGCGGAAGCATTGTGAAGAGCGATGCGCTGCAGCCCAACTCTTACCGGCTATGACCCGTGAGACGGCAACAATAACGTCTTGTTGGGTAGGACAGCCATCGCCATGTTCCCGCAGCAGGTAATGTCCCCTGCCCCCGCTATCTAAGGAGATGCGCCTGCGCGATATCTGTTCGCATTTCTGAGCCGGGAGTATGTGGTATGACCCGTCTGGGCGTCAACTTTCGACGCCAGTTCTGAGGACATCCGCTGGGCCCAATTACAACATACAAGAGGTGCAACTCAGCCTAAAACTCTTCGTGTTCGCTCAAGCGAACACATCGCGTAGAAATACTGCGGAGCGACGCCAACCTGCTCGTGCTTCACAAGGTCATTCGATTCCCAAGTGCGAAAATCGTCCAGCATCGGTTCGAAACACCAGCAACCTCCAAAGTCGTCGCGCAGCATGGGCATGTCAATTACATGACCGCGCCAGATATCCCACTTGAGCGTCAACGTGTAGTGATTCAGGGTAAAGGTAGGAATGGGACCTAATTCACTGGCAAGGGCCTGTGATGGGACTTGGTGACGTATTTTCTCAGGTCGGAGCTTCATTCGGCACAGATGGCTCCGAGTTTCACACGTACGGGTGTCACAGGCGTGATGGTGGGGACAGAGACAGCTGCGAATGGTGACGGCTCGCCTTGTTGGTAGCAGAAACAATCAAGACAACCTCGACACATCCTGTTGGCCTCCAATGCGTGTCGGAGAAGACACCGGTTCGCATGTTCTGTGAGCTTGTGAAATGCATGGCGCCTGGCACCCACGGGACAAAATTGTTCTGCGGGATGCTTGATAGTGATCTGGTCCAGGCCAGGCCAGGCCCCAACAATGGCTCAAAAGGCGTTGCAACATTCCTCGAGGACAGGTAACACTCGGTGGAGAACAAAAGGTCACCAATAACAACGCTCCGACCAGCTAGCGGCCGCTGCTTGCCTCCACGCTTAGCTCTGTTAGGGACAGGTTCAGGGGTAAAGAGTGGAGGTGGCTGATCTGCCGCTAGGCCTTGACGGAAAGTGAATACAGTGCGTACGGGAACGTCGGGGCTTGGTGGTACGCTCACACGTTCTTAGCCCTGTGAGGTTGAAAGAAATGCGAACAGTACCTTGCTTCCGGAACATGCATACGCTTGGGCTCTCCTGGAGGGGCCTGATGGCGTCTCTCGTTCCTGAAGCGGCTCTGGTGTCGGCTCGCTGTTCGGCGGTCTGATGAATCAATGTGCCGCGAGTTGGCGATGATATCTGGGAGGAGCTGTCAGTAGGGCCTGAGATCGACCATGGTCTCGATCCGGGATTACTCTCGCTTGAGAATGATAAGGTTTTAATAGAACTGATGACCAGTGCCTTACTCTCGGCGCGGAGGATCCAGGTTCAGAGATCGTCGGCCACTTTGGCGGCTATCCCAGCCTTGCTCGGGTCGATAACCGCCAGCCCTGTACTATTTGTAGCTGCAGGAGCCCAAGGTAGCAGAGACATGTGCTGTCCACCGCCACGAGGACAGACTGAAGAAAGAACTGCTAGAATCTTGGCAGATGCACATGTCTGTGGCCATGAGCTGAATGCCACTGGACACGAGCGCAAGACGAGAAGCTGTCAGTGACGCCGAGGTGGCCGTGCGTTGCCTCTGGGTGAGGGGTAGCCCTGGTTCTCAGTCGGCGGCGGAAATCGTCTGATCGATGCCTTTTTCATGCAACAAGACAGATAGTTGGATGACTGGTTCGTGACTGGTGAAGTTAAGGGTTCAGTCAAGGAAGAGCCTGGGTTTCCACTTGTGTGGGTATCAGGTTTCCCCCGCATGTATCACGGATGCCATGATCATACAACCATGACGTCTGAGCCAGTCGATCAGGTAGTGCCGATGCTGCCGGAAAGCGTTTTGTTTTCAAGACGATGAGAAGCCTAGACAATCGCCGCGTGTGTTCGTCTGTCTCAAAGACCAACGGGCCATGATGAAACCACCTTGCGGAATCTTCACAGAAGGAAGCGTGTGAGCCAACGAAGACGCGCCGGCTTTCTCGAAGCCAATCCATGCACCGCACACTGTGCTGGTGACGACGACACAGTGCCCATGGCGTCGACTGTGCCCGGTTGATGGGGCCAAAGTGGACAAAGGGGTGGGTGGGGGCATAGGTACCTAGGTAGTGCGATACGCCAACGAACACAGTACGCAGTACTGAGCCAGCCAGGCTGACAGCGAAGGACCTGACATGCCTCGTCAGGTCCAGGTATCTTACCGCCTTGGTAAACCCAAATGCCCAGGTCACACTGCCATTGCTTCCCCTCTCCATTTCGTACCTGGGTCGCACAATCTCGTCCAGCACAAACACGAGATCTAGGGACCCTCCAGTTGATATTGGATCGCGAAAAACTCTTTCGAACGACACCACGCGTCACATCCCATCGATATCAAGCTGAGCCACTGACCAGCTTGGATCGCTAAAGCACTCTGTGGATCCAAACCCCTTACGCTACAAACGACAAAGGACGCTACCCTCGCAAGGCACCAAGCACGGTCGGTCGTCGTATCGAAGCAGAGCCCGACTAAAAGCCTGCTTGCTCCATTGCTCCGCTCTTGTCTTTGGACACCCCTTCATTTCCATTCTGTCACGACCGTTCATACTGTACGATAGTCGAACGAACATCGAGACAAGCAGTAAGGAGGGACGCATCGACTCGATCGTCTCACCACGTTGTCGATTCTTCTTCTGGGCCTGATCCGCATACCCCCGCCTGAGTCGGTTCGCATCTCAACAGCACAGACCTGGTCCGATTCCAGCCCTCGCCTCCAGCGCCGCTGTCAGCACCGCACATTCCAACGCCCTGCCTAAGAATCTGGAACCTCGACGCAGTCCGAGTGTCCTCCTCCTGCTCCTCCGCCGAATCCGCCAGCCCGTCTCCCCTGCGCCGCATCCTCCCATACTCTTCTTCCTACCCCTGTGCTGGCCCGCCCCCCCCCCCATCCCTTTCAGCCATCCCTTCTTCACCAATCTCTTCGACTGGCAGTGCCCTCACTCTTGAATCTTCCTTTCTTTCAATCATCCATATCGGCACGACGACGTAGGCGTTCGTCACCACTGCTTTTGCTATCATTATTTTGTTAACCCCATCTTCCACTCTTGACGAGACGGAAGGGGCACGAAAAAAAATTCAATACGGCTGCATTGTGCCAGTCGAGGTGCTGGGCATCCATCCCTCTGAACGCATCCGACGCGAGTTCGCATTCCCCGGCTGCCAGGTTTTGACCCTCCGGATTCGACCAGCCTCAGACCGACTTGCACTCAACGTCCCATTCCCAACCACCACAAGCTATCGCAGCCGCTCCTTAGCCTCCTCCACGACATTCATTCACCACTTGACACTCCCCCCGACGAACACTCGCGTCCTTGTCGTCCCTTCACACAACGTTGCAAATGCGCCTCTAACACCAGCTGCCCACCCCTAATCACAAACGAACGGCCAACCCAACCAGCATTCGACACTCGAACTTCGCCTTAGCCATCCTTCCAACGACAGCCTGCTTCAACTAAACCTCCAACTCTACCTCAAAAACTCCCATCTCACTTCAAAGCGCGCCCCAACGCACGAGTTGCTCTCAAGGCGTCAGCTCGAATCGACCACCAGTCAAATCACCATTCTCTATGCCACCTTACGGTTCCCTGCACTCGCCATCGCTGGGGAAAATGGAACACTCTAGAGCTCAGTACGGCAGGAGGGGGATGAACATGGGAAATGTCATTGGCGACCCCTTTGCCCTCGCATCAATCTCCATTGCCATGGTATGTCGCTGAACTAGCGTCGCCCATCGTTCGCGTGCTAATCTATCGTCTCCCAGCTGGCGTGGGTCATCGCGTTTATCAGCAGCATCGTCGCTGCGGTACAGACAAATGATCTCCCCAACCTTGCGTGGTGGATCCTCGCTCTCGAAGTTGGCATCGTTGGCGCCGTCTTCTTCGTTATTGCCTCGGACACGATCCAGACGTATCACGTTGCCTTGACAGCCTACCAAACACTTGCGCTTGCCACCTTGTCTATACTTCTTAACAGGATCGTATATGATGGTCGTGGCGCTATGCAGGCTGCGTCTGCCGGCTATGTCCTGCTGTCGGTCGTCATGGTAAGACCTTCTCGTTCATGTCCCGCTCGACCTCGCTGACTTTTCCCTTCCAAGGCACTCTGGATGATTTACTTCGGCTCCGCGCCTTCTGCCTCACCACGTGCTTATGTCGACTCCTTTGCCCTGCAAAAGGAGGGACACGGCTCACGCAACACGATGACCTACGGCACGGGACGCCCCGAAACGTCCACTTCGGTTCAACCTCCACAGATGTACACATCGGCGCAATTGAACGGTTTCGAAAACCCCTCTCCCGTCGGCGGCATCTCGCAATCGCAGGCGCCTCGGAACTCCGCAGTGCCGAACCTGAACTCGACTGGAGTGACGGCGAACGGCAAGCCGCCAGGCCAAGACCAGGAGGTCGGCCCGCCGACAGAGTACCCTTACCGTGCCAAGGCCATCTACAGCTACGAGGCCAACCCTGAAGATGCGAACGAGATCTCATTCAGCAAGCACGAGATTCTCGAGGTCAGTGATGTCAGCGGGCGGTGGTGGCAAGCGCGGAAGGAGAGCGGCGACACAGGTATCGCGCCAAGCAACTACCTGATCTTGCTATGAGTAATGAAAAAAGGGATTCGTCACGGCGGGGGGGGACGCACGCGCATCTGCCGAAACTATATCCGGCTGCTTGGGTTCCTCCATGATTCTTTTGATTGTTTTTTTTTTCGGGATTCGGCTGGAGTACGCTCAGGTCTCAGACAGGGACACCAATTTTCACCACTGCCATCATGAGGGCACGCATGACACCTACGGGTACAAATGCTCCATTCTCCTTTCTTCTCTCCGTGCCTGGTCCGCGCACCAGCCTCCACTACCTCTACTTCTTCCGCGGCTTTGACGTCAATGGGAATGGTTGCCCACCGCGCGACTATTCTCGTACCAGCATGTGTGGCGGGATCAGGCCTTTCGTGTGTCGTATTCTGGGATGGGACTTGATTTTGACGACGGATTGGGTTCTCGGGCATAGGGATCGAGCCTCCGGCATCATCACTGAGGGAATACCCCATGTCGCTGGTGTGTTCAGGTTGTTGTTTACAAGAATTGCCCTGTTGAACATATGTTTGCTTTATTCTGCGTTTCACGAATTGTACCTGAGTCAAAGATTCTTGTCGACAGTGACGTGTGTGATCTGATTGATGCGATGCTGCTTCTCGATACCCAATCACGCATGTGTCCCGAGGCGCACCTATCTTTTGATCTTGTGGTGTCTGTCGAGATGGGCTGCTTTTCTCGACCAACGGATCGATGTAAGCAGTGGCAAAATGAATCGGATCTCTCCAGAGCCGGCCAATCTGGATGTCGGTAGGAAGCTGTCTTCGGAGGTTGGCGTTGATGGTCGTTGCAGACACCTATGGCCGGGCGTCTGTACAACAGCAGTCGTGCTGTTTCGGGACTCGGCTGATTCGCTTCGTACACCAGGCCGTGGACGAGCACCACTTGACAGCAACGTCGAAGCCGCTTGATCGACGATGGCCCTCACTTCCCTGATGCGCGAATCCAACACACCCCGCCTCCCTTCGCAGTGCCATGCCACCCGGCACGCACGCAGTAGACGCAGAGCCACCAGTGCACACTGCGGCAGGCACTCTAGTTGCTCCGTGTCGTACCGAGTCGACTAAACGAACGCATCGCTGCCATGTTGCAGCTGCAGTTTTCCTTTCCTTTCCTTTCCGAGGCGTGCTATTCTTCAAGCCTCCTCGAGCCTCTTCCGCAGCTCCCTCTCCTTCTGCGACACCTGCAGCTCGAGCCTCTCGACGCTGTACTTGAGACCCTCCTTCCTCGTGCGCACCGCCCGCGCCTTGAGCGCCCTCTCGCCCGCGAGGCCCTTGCCCCTGGCGCCGGGCGTCCTGGCGCGTATGGAACCGCCGGTGCTGTTGCTGCCGCCGCCGCCGCCGCCACGGTCGTCGGCCGCCATGCGGCCCGCGAGGAGCTCGCTGCGGGCCTTGAGCGTCTCGACGCGGCGCTCGGCGCGGTCGACCTGGGTCTCGGCGCGGTCGAGCAGGTGGGCGATGTGGGGGCCGATCTCGTCGCGGAGGGAGGCCTCGGCGGCGGCGAGGGAGGGGTGCGGGATGAGCTCGTAGTGGCGGGTTGTGCGGAGGGCGGTCGAGAGGCGGGGGAGGTCGGCGGTCGAGGCGCGCAGGGTCGCGACGGACGAGGTCAGGAAGGTCAGGGAGTGGGTGAGGGAGGAGACGCAGTCGGCGTACGTGGAGGGGGCGGCCATGATGGACTGGAACGTGATTCGGGACGAGCGGTCATACGATTCGAACAAAGCTTAAAAGGTCACGCAAAGCTCAGAGGTCAGCAAGAAACGCCGGTCCGACCGAGCAAGGTATGAGTGGTACCTAGGTAGCAAGGTAGGCCGCTATCTTGTTGATGCCCGCTTGTTGTTGTGTTGCCCCACGATCAAAAGACGGATGGCATCCGCATGTGCACAGCGCCCCACCTACTCCTGTTTGACAACGGAGCTTGACGCACAGACCACTCTTTCCTTCAACCAACAACCACGGTCTATACCTTGAAGCTTCACCCAGTCTGCCCAAGGTGTTTGTGGGTTGGGCTACGCGTTGAGAGCCTAAGTTCAAGAAACCAAAATCCCCGAGAAGAATGAGCCCTGCAGCTTGTTCCGATAGCAGTCACACGGTTGCCGACTCGTTTCACTCGTCTGTACCGACGGAACAGTGATGCTACTTCGGACTCGTGAAGCTTTGTTTTTGGACAATAATCCTATTAGGCGACGGTCATTCATCAGGAGGTTTCCGAGGCCTGGCATAGTGCCATTGTCAGACCCACATGTCTTCTTCTCCGCACATTCACATTCATCTTGCTACTTGTTATTGAGACCGGTCTGAGAATGGGGGTCTCAAAGATTCGACTCACAGGACACACGGAGTCAAGGCCAGCCAGTCAATTTCCGTATTGCGTTCCGGTCTCTCAGTCCAACATCCTATGATGGACACGACTAATGACGCGGATGGATCAAATGAGCTGATATGCATCATGCGGGTGTTGTGCGACGTAACAAGGCTGCCTATAGAAGAGTGATGGCGCGCGCAAATATGCGTGGACTTGGCTTTCGGACCAAGGCTCCGCTCTATCGGCATCCTGCGCTGTCCTTGCTGTTGGGCACCCATCCGAGGTGGGCGCGGGGATCAAATCCCACGAAGCCTCGGTGAGCTTGACTGGTGAAACACACTGCGTGAAAGATGGTCATCGAAGTCCGGGCAGTGATCAAACTGCTTGAAGGTCTCAGTCAGCCTGCCTTCTGTTCCCTTTTTTTCCATTTCTTTTCTTGTTGCCCAAAGACTCGGACACGCCCCTGACGTCGAGACATTCAGCACGCAAGCCCTTCTGACAACACAACCATCAGGCTGTGCCACAGCTATCTTGGCAGCTAACCGCCCTTTCACCACTTGCATTTGTCGCCTTCACAAGCGCCATGTATGTCTTCTCCAGCCCAATGGAACTCCATGCGCATGCATCCCACGGCGCGAGCTCATCGTGGTGGACTTTAAGGCAAACATACTCCACCCATCATCGCCCGCCTTACAAGTGCATGAGATCGGCCATCCGTAATCCAATCGTGAGCCGTCTGTAAAAGGCGACGTGGAGGCTCAAGCGGTGCACTCACGCCCGAAATGTGGATAAAAAGGTGAAGAAAGGTCAGGCTTAGGCGAGCAGCAAGCAATTTCACCACCCACGAAAAGTTGCTGCACCCTCCTTGCTTTTCCCGTCACCAACTTCGCCGCCTCCATCCCAATCCGAGCGTCCCCTTTCAATACTCATTGGAAGGCCCGACCCCGTGATGTCCACAGAATACATCTCTCGTTATAGGCTTCCTATGCAGGCCCTGGTCAATTACCTGAGACAAATTCGCACATCTGTGCACGTTCAGGTAACCCTGACCACCTTGAGTGTGGCCAAGCTACAGATTCATTCTATGACCAGGAACACGACCCAGAGTACTACGCGGTCACCCTCGATAGACCGCTCAGCCAAGTAGTTGTCCTTGCTCCTATCCACGGCGGAACTCGCTAATCTGGAATAGACAGAGCGAGCAGGTGTGCAGGGCCTCATCACACCAAGACCTCCTGAGGACTAATGGAGTGTCATTATATTTCTACTTCACCCCTACAGCTATCCAGGTCGCGATTTTGCGTTGCTCCAGCCCTTTTTAGCGACGTCTCATGGAATTCCATGTGAGGATGGTACCATGTAGCCTGACGCCGCTGCGAGCAATGCAGCAAGCCTGGTTTCAATCTACTGGGATCCCTACTCCTCTTCAACAGGGCGTTCAGGCCAAGTTTAAGGTCATCACACATATTTACGCACCCCCCCCCCCCCCCCTCCCAACCCCAGCCCCTCCTCTTTCTGTACCTTTCCTGCAAGGTCAGCCATTATTTTCCAGCCAGTCACTTGGCGCACAAGACAGTTTCATGTCAGCTGGGCATCCACACAAGGCATACCCAGTACAGCTTTCGATGGTGGGTTGTTGCATGAATGGTGTTAATGCCGGGCTCTTACCTCTTTTCTCCATTTTGAGCCCTCCAAATTATGAATCGCAGTTATTTTGATTCCAGATGATCTGACCTTGGCTTAAGTATTTCACATGAAGTTTCCCTACCTGTCTCGAGCCTTCCTGAAATATGCATCGACTACACCATTAGAAATCCTCGTAAGGCTTCTCGGTGAAAGTTCAAAGCCCTGATAAACTTCTCACCGTGTGCAAGGCTCTGTTAGCCTCGCCGGAGGAGATTTGTCTGTCGATAGCTGCACAAAGGATGGTGCTATGGAAATTATCAAGATATATGACCATTACTGACCTGTAGCTCTTTCTTCCTGTCATGCTCATGCTTACCTGAAGCTTTCGCGACCCCTAAGAGATCTCAAAATGTCTGTCAGTGCGTTCGATCAACTGAGGGACACTTGTGCCTATGGCCGATTCGGCACGTACCCAGAAAACTCGATGCAAGAACAAGTTGCCACGCCACTGATGAAAACATACGCAAGACGACTTCATCAGCAGTCTGAGAAGCTCTTCTACACGAACACACCGTCGGTGCGGTTCAGAGAGGCTGTTACGGGAGACACAAGTAATACCCCCTAAATGTTGTCTTCGATAACTTGGCTAACAAATGTTTACAGTATTCCAGAATCATGTTTTCAAGGACTTGCCGGTACTTCAAGCCCATCTTGACCGCCACCTAGTGACAAAATACAAAGACCCGAGATATCGACATGTGTGAGTCTCCTTTGGCTCTTGGGCCCCTCGCACCATGCCTTCAATAATCTGACTTAACCGTGAAGTTTTATCTGCGCCGGCGATTCTCGGAAACCAATGTACATAACCGAATCAATGTTCAAGCTTCTCTGCTCATATCAACAAATCCCCCCCAGCTTTCTTGACTTATTTCTCTCTCTCGGCGAACAGCCAAATTTCCGAAACTTCCACTCCGTCGGCTTTCTGGAGAGCAACCTTCCAAGTCCGCTATCAGAGAACCTCTTATCAGTACCCGAACTAGATAGATCTGGGAACGAGTTAAGACACTGCTACAAAGTCCAAGGCATGGAAATGTCGAAAGACGAGAAACAGTGGAGGCGAAGGCCTGCAACCGTTTATCACTCCTTTGATCTGGAAACAGGCCGATGCTTCTGGCTCACCATAAAGGCCGATAAAGCCATTCGAGAACGGATCGTTGATGGACAGCAGCAGCTCGATACACTTCATCCGAAGTCGTTTGAAACACTTGAGGGAGCCTTCAAAGCAACTTTGGTCACCCATTTGATCCATCTGGAATGGAGTATTGAAGGTTGGATGTGGTACATAGATGATACAGAGGCTCGCCTTCGAGAAATCCTCATCCGTGTAAGAGCCGCACCCATCACGACAAAAGCAGATTTGCTCATCACCCTGGGAAGGGTTTGGTCATTTGACGTACAGGCAAAGCCTGAAGACCGCAAAGCTACCAAGCCGCCAAGCATGTGCAACAGCCCATTGCGATCCAGGCTCACATTCCCACCTTTGGCCTCTATCACGAGTTTCAAGGCTATTTTAAAGAGCTTCGATCCCGACCAGAAGTCTCCAACCAACATTGAGCTTCCCGCCAGAAACACCAGTACCAACATCAAGAATCTCGAAAAGGAGTATAGCAGCCTCATCAGCGACCTAGCAGGCCTTGAACAAGTACTGAGCAGATTCTCCTTGACGGAGCAGCAACAAATGACATCATTCGTATCGGAGCTGCAGGAGACGAAGGTGGCCATGAATCTCAACATGCAGGTGATGGCCAGCATATGCACAACATACAAACGGCTTCTAAACAGTACGGAACCCGCGAAGAGACTTGGAAAGAGCTGCAGCAACCAGATTGCGCGGTTCTGTGGTCGTATTGAAGCCTTTGAGAGTATTCTCCAGGTCCAGTGTCATCGGATAGACACTTTGGTTGACCAATTGATGGATGCCAAGAGCCTGGTGAGTCCAAATCATACGTAGCCTACCAGAACACTTTCTCACCCGATCTTAGTACGAAGTGATCTTGCAGTATCGAGACTCGGAGGTCAACAGAATCATCGCACTCAGTGCTCATCTCTCAGCATTACGGGTCGAATCAGTGACAGAAGACATGCATGAAATTGCAAAAAAGACGGAGAGGGATACATCATCGATGCATATCATCACGTTTTTTACCCTCATCTTTCTGCCAGGCACATTCCTCGGTGTAAGAGCCGTCATGTCTCGCAGAGTCAAGTCGAAAGACATATTTCTAACATCTAATCAGACGTTTTTTAGCACGCCAATATTCGAGGGGGCTGAGAGAGGAGGTCACGGTTCAAATTGGAGTTTCGACATTCGTCTGTTCCGAGTCTTCATGGCAATTTGTGTCCCAATGATGGTGGTGACCATCCTCGTCTGGGGGGTCTATATGATGTACAAAAAGAGGCATAGCAAGAGTGTTGTTAGGTCTGGTTATGATTTGATCTGCTAGGAAGCTGCCACGTTGGAACTAGATTATGGCCTGCTTGGCAAATCTTGAATACTAGATGACTCCTCCCCTTCACCCTTTGGATAGTTCTATTTCACTATTGGAATTGAAGACCAGTTGTATACCAGCTAACAAACGAGAATGCGAGACTGGATGTCTAGGGCGCAGGATGACGATCACGAGTCGACGCAGTCAAATGCAAGGGTGATTACTCGCAGAATGCCATGTCACCTTCTGTCGC